TTTGTATTCTTTTTGTAAAGGGGGAAGTAATGTAGGTGTGCTGCACACACACACACACACACACACACACACACACACACACACACACACACACACACACACATATATACTTAGTAATGTTGTACCTATCTACCATATATATGTATACTTAGTAATATTGTACCTCTCTACTTTGTACTAAGAATTCAGTTAGACAGTAGCTAATTGCCCGTCAACTGTATTACACGCTCCTCTATAATAAATATGTCATAAAAGTTGTGCAATCTTTCATTATGGTCACCCGTAGGGACCCATATGGAGTCAGCTCCAAAAAGCTCAAAACTGTTTTTTTACTTAATAGTTGCAATTTTCATGTGAAAATATACAGGAAATGTTAAAAAATATTGTGACTGAATGGGACCTCACTGATAAGATAATATTTGCCGTAGCAGACAACGCTGCTGATGTATAGAAGGCCATTCATAACATCGGCTGAAAGCAATTTGGATGCTATGGCCACACTTTGAATTTAATAGTTCAGGATGCCCTCACGACGGTTCAACTAATGGTGTAAGAAGTGATGCTCTTAAATTAATTATTTCATATTTAAGTAAGAGAACGCAAAAAGTTGTCATTAACAGTGTGAGTTCTTCCGGGTCGATGGTACAAATGGGCGTGCCTCAAGGCTCAATTCTCGGCCCCTTTCTGTTTCTTGTATATATTAATGACTTACCTTACATTGTAGGAGATAACCATGATATAGTATTATTTGCAGATGACACTTCTTTAATTTTCATATTAAGTCGACAATTGCTAAAATATGACGAAGTAAATAATGCTATATCTAAATTAGTAAATTGATTCAATGTTAATAATTTGCATTTAAATGGCACTAAAACGAAATGTATGAAATTTATGACTTCAAATGTCAAACAATTAAATACTAATGTAATTTTAAATGGGGAGAAACTGAGTCTTGTAGATACCGCCATTTTTCTTGGAATCACACTAGACGCGAAGCTTCAATGGAGCCCTCATATATCAAAACTAGCAAGCAGACTTAGTTCTGCAGCATATGCCGTAAAAAAGATTAGAAGTCTAACTAGTGTTGAAACAGCTAGACTAGTTTATTTTAGCTATTTCCATAGCATAATGTCGTATGGTATTTTGCTATGGGGACACGCAGCTGACACTGAAATTATATTTGTTTTACAGAAGAGGGACATAAGAGCAATTTATGATTTAAAGCCTAAAGAGTCGCTGCGACAAAAATTTAAGGAAATTAATATATTAACTTTGGCCTCTCAGTACATTTATGAAAATGTAATGTACGTACACAAAAATAAAAGTAGTTTTACAAAAATAAGTGATATTCATTCTGTAAATACTAGGAACAGACACAAGCTAGTAGTACCAGTTACTCGACTCCATCGAGTCAGTAATTCATTCTTGGGGCGATGTATACGCTTTTACAACAAAATTCCATAAAATATACAAAGTTTGACCTGCTCAAAGTTCAAAAACTTTATTAAACTAAGTTTGTATAAAAAGGGTTATTATAATATTAATGAATTTATAGATGATAATAACCCCTGGAAATGAGATGATCGCTACCAAGCTATTTCTAATTTATTGTGTTGTTAATTAGTGTAACATACAAGATTGTAAGCTGTTATTTTAAAAAAAAAGTCCCGCTGGGTTTCTTGCTGGTTCTTCCCAGGACAGAGGTTTTTTTTTCGAACCAGTGGTAATCATACAAAAGAGTGACTTTCAATAAGTATTATTTATAATCTATATTGAATAAAAAAGAAAAAAAATTTTAGAAAAGGTAAAAGAAAATCTTTCGCCATTTTAAAACAAGCTCAACGGCTTTGGAAAAACTTTTAAAGGCACAAACGGACGATATAGCTTGTTGTATCCCGAAGCGCCTTATACAAGAAGTCCCCACGCGTTCGAACTCAACATTTCTTATGGTTCAACGCTTCTTTGAAATGGAGCAGTACATTAGAGCCACACTGGCCATTCTTAAAAAAGATCTGCCTACACTTACAAATGATGAATGAAAACTTCTTTCAGACTTGATAAAAATTTTACAACCATTCCATCAAGCCACTGAAACAATCAGTGGTGAAAAATACATGACCGGTAGTTTGGTCATTGTAATGACACGCTGCCTTATAGCGGCGAGTGATAAACTAATAACAGAGCCAATTTTGGAAACATCTAAAGATGTCCTCTATCGTATCAGAACAGGACTGGTGACAAGATTTGGCCTTGTGGAACGAAGCAAAACGTTCAGGACATGCACGTTCCTCGATCTTAGATACAAATTATCTGTTTTAGTGATCAGAATGAGGCCAAAAACATAAAAAATCAAATCCAGGATATGTTAGTTGCGATGATTGCTCAAGAGAGTTCACATGAGGAACAATTTTCTTCTATAGCAGCCAGTAATACAAAAATTGATGGCTTTCGTGCTATCCTGCACGAAATAATAGGCCGAAATCAGCACATAGTCGGGACTCCTATATCAAACGTCATTAAGGAGATCGACACACATTTAAACGACGACCTGCAGCCAATCTTCTATGGCGACAAATAGAGCTGTCCCCTTGAGTGGTGGCGTAGCTACAAATTTACATATCCACATCTTGCTAAACATTTTCAAAAGTATGGAAATATAATGGCTTCATCTGTTCCATGTTTTTTTTATAGGATAAGGATGACAACCGAGCACACAGTCCACCTGATGGTAAGTGGTTGCTGCGGCCCATAGACATCTACATCTATCCTCGTTTGCGAATCAAAATGCAGATGCGTTGTCACCCGTGAGGACTATGATGGAATGCCTCATTTCCAGTAAAAAGGGCCTGAACGTATATTTAGCAAAACGGGCCTCTTATTAAATGACCGTAGGACCCGACTTACATCCCAAAAAGTAAGACAACTTACCTTTTTAAAAGTAAATTTAGATGAAAATAGGTTTACATGAATAAGTAAAACCATAGTGTAATACTTAATTGTAAATAATATCTAAAAGTATGTAAATATCATGAAATGAACTTTTAAATACGCCTGCATTACTTTTATTAAGAATTATTGTATATGTTACAGAGACAACTATCGTAAAAAGCAAATGTTATTACTTATTTTTTTTTTATGTGATAGGGGTGACAAACGAGCACACAGTCCACCTGATGGTAAGTGGTTGCTGCGGCCCATAGACATCTACATATATCCTCGTTTGCGAATCAAAATGCAGATGCGTTGCCACCCGTGAGGACTAAGATGGAATGCCTCATTTCCAGTGAAAAGGGCCTCCGGCCACCTGCACTCACCAAGCGAAACGCAGAGGTAAACCTCTACTTCACGCTGGTATTCTGTGAGGTCGTGGTACCACCCCGGTTCGAGCCGGCCCATCCGTGCGACAGCAAAAGCTACCGCGTGCCTATACCTATTATCTACCTAAACAGGGAATTTATAACGCGAAGTTATATATTTTAACTTAATTATACAACGCATAATAAATTCGCTTTTTATTACTATTAATAAGTGATGCAGTCAGTCCTAAGCCTGAGAAACTTGACTTTATTTAATATATCACAATACCATGTACAAGATGTCTGTTGCCAGCAAAAGGTGTCACATCCTACTGTGTCTGAAATGCACCCAAAAGAATGTGGCAACCTAGTTTCATTACTAAAATGTGGATGTTTATAACCTGTATAACATTTGCCCCTATTCCAACAATTTCCATGTATAGCTTTGCATTCATATGTTGCCTCAGTAACTATCTTAAAACTGTATGCAGAGTAAGAAGAGTGATACCTTGTAACTGATTTAGAGTCTTTAATCCTCATCTCTATTTTGTCTCCATCTACTGTGTTTAGACAGATGGTGGAACTAGTTTGGATAAGCATTGAATACATGTGGACATTTGTGCATTCAATTGTGTCACATATCTTTCCACTAGAAGATAAATACAATGTTTTGTCACATGCATATGTTGGTGCAACTGTGGATTGTAATGCAAGTCCTGTTACTAAAGCCTTTCAGTAGTGTTGCCTAATCGTTTAAAAAAGAAAATTATCGTACCATTGACTCCTATCTTCTTCACAGTAAACGTAGTTATAATGAGGTGTGGATCGACAAGGCCATGATGAAACACCCTGGCGAAATCTTCTTGATCTGCTTATTTACCATTTTTTTTATAACGTTACCACCACACTAGGATTTTCTCCTGTAACGTAGAGGCAGTTTACAAACATAAATTGCACGTGGACAAACATCCAGACCCGGAGCAATGATTTGTAGGCCATACAAATACTTGTTCCGTGCGGGATTCGAACCTGCAGCCCCCAGCGCAACAACTCATTGCTAAGCCACTGCGCCACGGAGCCGTCTAACTGTACCAAATTGCATATGCTAGGAGACCCAAATCAGATAGAGTTTATAAACAGAATCGGGTCGGTACGTATCAGTTACGGCGACTTTAGATCTTTCTTTAAACCATCGCGGTATTTAAACATCTCTTACAGATGTCCAGTTGACGTAATGGCGACATTATATCAAAAGTACGAAGGTGGAACTAGATCCACATCGCAAATCACCAAAAGTATGTTCTCTGAAGCGTATACCGCATTATCGAACGTTCCTTTGGACAACGTTAAGTACAAATATTTAGTCTTCAAACAGTTTGAAACGGATTTGCTGAAAAAGGCCAGTTACGACGTATCCACAATTCATGAGTATCAAGGTAAACAGGCGGAACACATAGTCGTTGTGCGTACATCAAACAAAGTTAAAGAAGAAATATATTTATCAGAATCACATATATTGGTTGCGATCAGTCGTCACACAAAGTCACTGACTTATTATACTCCGGTAAAAGACACGTTATAGACTATAATAGACAAACATATAGATTCCAAAATATTGAATGACGTAAAATTTAACTTGCGCGGAGGAGCTAAACCGTCTGCGGATTTAATAACGTACGAGAGACCTTAGCAATCTTCAGGATGCGTATACGTGAATTCGTTAGTTTTGAAAACGAATTGCGTAAAAAGAATCAGATGATCCACGAACTTACTGCTCAAGAGCCAATCATGAGTCTGCAAGGTAGAATCGCTGAGCTGGAGCAATTACTGAACCAGAAGGAACAAGAGATCTCGGTTCTGAGATCTCACGTAATTGATGATCAAGCGACAACTATTTTGCATACTAAGATTGATGATCTCCGAAACTATTTCGAAGAGTCGCTGAGCCGCATCGAGAGGTCGTTTGTGGGATTACCCTCGAACAATGATATGGACATTCGGGGTAGTTCTTATGTAAATTGGGGTCCATCACATAATCAACTGCTTAATCACCAATATGTTAACAGGCGTACTATCATGGATAGTATTACTATGGCTCAATTTGTTTTATTAAATTGGTTTATTAAATTTGTAGTGGATAAAACCGTGCGATTCCCATCAGATGGGGTTTACGTGAACATCAATGGTAGATTGATGTCACTATATGTGTCTAGAACAGTCAACGCTTGTGATTTCGGGGAACGGTCGATGGACCACACTGAAAACACAATACTAAATAAATTTTCTGGAATGGACGATGCCAAACAGGCATTTTACAATAATATTAGAAGTATCAATGTCATTATAAGGGGTGCAATACCCGATAGAGTTAATGATATATATGACGTAACTACCTTTGAGTCGACTTTCGGTCTCAATTGGAGTTGAAATTATTGTAAGTATTAATATTTAATTTTATAATTTTAAGTAATTTGATTTCATTATTTTATTGTTTTCATTTATTTCCTTGCATTTTATTTTATTTTTAATAAAACACAAAAAAGTTTGTTTGACTACACCTTTATAGCTAATAGACACTGGTCTGCCATATCTCACATACCTTATTAAAAAAAATTTCATAAATAGGGTACATTACCCATTTATACCATGTACAAGATGTCTGTTGCCAGCAAAAGGTGTCACATCCTACTGTGTCTGAAATGCACCCAAAAGAATGTGGCAACCTAGTTTTATTACTAAAATGTGGATGTTTATAACCTCTATAACAGTTGCCCCTATACAAACAATTTCCATGTATAGCTTTGCATTCATATGTTGCCTCAGTAACTATTTTAAAACTGCATGCATAGTAAGAAGAGTGATACCTTGTAACTGATTTAGAATCTTTAATCCTCATCTCTATTTTATCTCCATCTACTGTGTTTAGACAGATGGTGGAACCAGTTTGGATAGGCAGTGAATACGAAACTGCATCACGAACGGATGTGACACAGAATTGAGAAGACATCTGCTTAGTTAAAAAATTGACATTCGAGATGTTTCGTGTAATATTGGGGCGAACTGACTTCCACGACTTATTTAGTGCGATAGCTAACAGCGTGAATGAAAGGTTGAATTGATAAGTTTTGGTTTTGATAATGTGTTTTCGGTTTACCATGTCACGAAAACAGAGGAAAGTGTTGTTTAATATTGAAGAAAAATCACACGTTATAAGGAGATTACAAAATGGCGAGTCAAATTGTGAAATTGCAAAGGAATGTGGAGTTCCACACTCTACAATATCGACGATTTGGAACAATAGAGATAAAATAAAAGCTCTTTTCGAGGAAAATTATTTGAAAATTAAACGATCGAGGACATCTGAACATAACGATATGGAAGAGGCTTTATTAACATGGTGTAAACATCAAAGGGTACAACGTCCCAATAATGTATATTTGGTTGGTATGAGAATAGGTTTTAGAGTATATTTCATACCGCTGGGGTGATAAGGGTGTCCCTATCCAGTTTTTTTTTTGTTTGACGGAAAATTTTATTTTTATTTTTTATAGATTTATCATAAAAATAGACATTACCCTAAAATTTCACTTTCCTACACTAACCCCTCAAATTTAAATCATGCTTTTTGTTCTTTTGTATTAAAAATATCTAAATAATTCACTACAAGTAATTTATATGGCGGAACAACGTTCGCTGGGTCAGCTAGTTATGTATATCTAGGAAAAATAGTGGGTATAGTACAGAGACTGATTTTGTAGTTAGGAATAATAATTAATTCGTTTACACGAATTAATTATCCAACGAGTCGAGGATAAACTAGTAACGGAATACGACAAGCGCGCCGTTCTACGTCAGAGCCAAGACTGTCTTAACGGCGGCCGCTCAGGCCGTTTTATACAAGCAGGACGGGCGGCAACGCAGGTGCAATGCCGCAGGTGTGCGGTACACGTGTCGTTTACAAGAATTCTGTCTAGCTAGACCGACGCTACCGCATCTACAACGGTGCAGGTGCCGTCATATATAACCCCTCACCTGATATCGGTCATAATATGACCGCAAAATGTAAGCCCTTACTTGATACCGGTCATATTATGACCGTGTCGCAAGCTCCGAATTCAAGACTGTTTTCTTAAACCAACTGATGTTTTGGATCGTGTGAGCAGGGCAGTATGGCTCTATAGTCTGTGCTTATTCATTTAAGTCAGTGAGAACAGACTTCCTTTAAGAAAAAAAATATGTTTGTCTAATCTTTTCGAAGACGTAGTTTCGTGGTGTGCGTGAAGTGCTTCCGAATTATTTTTTTGTGATATTGTGACAGTGTGTCTTCTTAAATTACGTTAACATCATGCCAAGGTAAGTGATTTTTCGTTTTAAGTCAAAGTTATTCAGATTTGTGCCTGTAATTCAGGGTAAACAAATATTTTCTTTGATTACTACCATCAATTCGCAGGTACGCCGACATATTTATTTATATTTTACATAATAATTCTTAATTTGTTGGAAATGTTTTTGTTGTTTTGAGTGAATAATTACATAAACAAACAGTAGTTATGTGCAGAATTCCTTAAATTCATTTTAATTTGAATATTTTACGGCAAATGTACTGCAGGGACTGGCTGGTCATATTATGACTGGTATCAAGCAGTGTCATTGTACTTCAAAATGGCGGATTTTTTAGTAATACAGTATGGATAAGTTTTTTTTTTTTGTTTCGTGTGTTGTTAAAACCTTTTTTTATTTATTTAAGCTCCTTTTCTTTCTTTTCTTTGCATGGCTTAAGAACAAGAGGTGGCAAAGCGGTGGTTGGTCGAGGAGGTAGACGTGGGAGTGGACGCGGTGTGAATAGAGGGGTTGGACGTGGTTAACAACGGGGGAAGGGACGTGGACCACGAACAAGAGGTGGTCGAGGGCGAGTGCATGAAATTGAAAGGTGTGTGTTTATTTTTACTAAATACATATTTATGTTTATGCAGCTGCAGCTGATTTTGTAATATACTGTTTTAATAGATCGCCGTTATTTGTCGGGGACATCATTACGACGGATCCAGACTCCACGACGGTACATGTTGGGAGCCCACTCGAGAAACCCATGCACCAAAAAGTGCCACGGCGTTGGGTTGGCTGAGAAATTTTTTTTGCTGCTGTTAAGCTGTATATTACATGTCAACTTTTCACAGATCTAACGCGACCTTTGCACACTTGCGGACACCTGGACTCTCGGCTTCTGCGTCGCAGGTCCCCTCGCCAGTCGACTGTGTTAAATAGGCGCATATATTTTAAATCTTGCTGCTGCTACAGAGGTTTTCAGTAATAATTGTGCAAATTTCGTTTTAGAATCATGGAGATTCCGAGTAGGCCAGATACCCAGCAGGGTGTAAGTCCTAGGCCCTCTTCGTCTCTGTAAGTGAAATAGCCATCAATTTCCATATTGCTACTGTCAAGCTCTGTATTACATGTCCACTTTTTACAGATCGATCGCAAGTTCGGCACTCTTGTGGACACCCAGACCCCCGGCATATGCGTCGCAGGTGCCCTCACTAGCTGAGTAAGTTAAATAAGCACATATATTTGTATCTTGCTGCTGCTACAGAGCTTTTCAGTAATAATTGTGCAAATTTCGTTTTAGAATCATGGAGATTCCGAGTAGGCCAGATACCCCGCAGGGTGTAAGTCCTAGGCCCTCTTCGTCTCTGTAAGTGAAATAGCCATCAATTTCCATATTGCTACTGTCAAGCTCTGTATTAATGTGACTGTTTTGTTTTAGGTCTGGTGGAAGTAAACCGAAGCTGGTCTATAATTTGGACGATCCGGAGCTGGCGGATCTTGTGAACTACGGTAAGTCACTGACTTTTAGTGTTAATCGAAAGGAAGCAGTCATGTAGAAAATATATTAATTAAACTTATTGTCTTTAGGAAGTGATCCAGATGATGACGAGGACGTGGAGGAAGATGACGACATCTTCGGATATATGCAGTGTCCTCGAAACGAACGAATCTATTTAGATTCGTTGATAGATTTCGATGCTCCGATGGACCTGCCTACCGAGCCGTCATCATCGGCGGAATTAATTAGCCCGCCGCCATCCACACCCGCGCCATCCACATCCACGCCATCCACAACCACGCCATCCACATCCACGCCATCCACACCCGTAAATGCTGCATCGGCAACCCAGGGCCCACACTCGCTCGCGGAATTTTATTGGGAGTCGTTGCCCATACCAGCAATTCCCCCCCAGCAACGTAGGGAGAAATTCACAGGGTCGGTAGGGCCGGTTTCACATTTCGCTTCACCTTACGAAGCCTTCATATCAATTTGGGACCGCAGCATAATGGAGGATATAGCTGCGGAAACAAATTGGTACGCGAAGCAATCGCTGGAGGCCGTACTAAGTAAGGGCAGTGTGGGTCCTCACAGCCGGCTGCGCATGTTTAAAGACACAAATACCGACGAGCTGTATGACTTTTTTGCTTTGATCCTTGCGACCGGCAATGCCTTTAAATCAGATCTCACGGAATACTTGACCGTCAAAGGCGAAGTAACCGATACCCCGAATTTTGGTCTTTACATGACATACACCAGATTTGTCGCCCTTACCCAGATGCTGCACTTTGTGAATAATGAGATTGATATTAGCCACCTCTCCAAAAGCGGCGCGAAAATCGCGAAGATTGCCCCAATTGTGAAGTATTTGAATGAGAAATTTCAAGCGTTTTATCAATTGGGGCAATGCATCGCATTGGACGAATCTTTGACTCAGTGGAAGGGGTGGCTAAGCATCAATCAATTTATCAAAAACAAAGCAGCATCGAAGGGCATAAAAACGTACGAGGTGTGCGACTCAAATTTGGGGTATCTGTGGCGATTTAAGATGCATGCCGGTCGCAATGAGGAAGATTTGAACGAGCTGGGGTATATTACACCCCTTGTTCTCGAGCTACTTAAGGGGCTCGAGAACAAGGGGCATACTGTCTTTATGGACAATTACTATAATAGTCCTCTTCTCTCTAGGCTTTTGAAAAGCCAAAGTTTTGATTGTGTGGGAACACTAAGGATAAATAGGCAAAATGTACCCTCAAATTTAAAGGCGCTTATAAAACAGCCTCTTGCTTTTGGCAGCGTGCACGGCGCCACGAGTGGGGATGTTGATATTCTGGTTCGGAAAGACCGAAACGTAGTCACCTTGACGTCGACGTACCACGTCGCGGGTTCAGCTTCCAGAGATGGAAAGTCAAAACCAACATTGGTCCACGACTACAACGTCCGCATGGGCGGTGTAGACAAAAAGGACCAAATGTTGTCTGCGTATCCCATCGAAAGGAAGCGAACCTTGGTATGGTACAAAAAGTTTTTCCGCCGCCTACTTAAGTAGCCCAGCGTGCTCAATGGGTACATTTTACAAAGAGACAGCCCAGTACCAGAACAT